ATAGGTACATATAATTTCGGATATCGGATCGGATCGGATTTAAATCATACCAATCCGAATCCATTCCGAAAATCTGAAATTTCATAAAACACAATCCGTATTCAATCCGAAAATCCGAAATTTGAAATCCGAAAATCCGAAATAGAGTGGATCGGATCGGATTTCGAATATCCGATCCATATGCACAGCCCTACTACAAAGTAAATGAATTGTTTTGGCTCCCTATTCATAGAAGAAAGCAAGCTGCTTCAAGGCTGATGCCTTTGGCATATTACTTGTGTAAGAGTTGGTCGAGAATAGGCAAAGACGCCAATGATCTTAGACTTCTTAGTTTCTTGTCTTTCACTAACTTCTTCATCTACGTTAATGATCAACTCCTCGAGAATAGGCGCAGATGCCAGCACTAACCGTACAAACAGCAATTCCACTTTAGAACCATGGAATCTATGTATTTACAGAGCTTGAAGGTTATTGAGTTCATCAATCCTGCATCCTTGTCCTTTCAACTGATTTAAATCTACCATCCCAGAATCTTTCTTGATCCGACTCAACTATAAGTAGTATAAAGAAAAATTAGTAAGATTTGCATCTCGATACTCGGAAATAGAGTAACAACTCATGAATTCAACAACTCACCAGAAGTTGTAACTTCAAATTGAGACAACTTCTAATGATGCATAGAAGGGAACAAATTTGATCTTCATCCTTAAAATCGAAACCATAAAATTTGAGACTGTCCAAGTGATGGAGCATTGTTGACAGCCTCCTTGCTACATTACCAGAAGCCAAAAACTAGACAACAAAAACCCCCAAAATAAGAACGTTAATAGTTATAACTATGCAGACATCATTCTGAATTATGCAGAGATATCAATTTCCATCTTACCTTGAGGGAGCATCCGTCCAAGATAAGTCCCCTAACTTCAGGTAAGCTGCTAAGAAGTTTTACCAAGTTCATTGCTTCATGTTGTCTGTGAAACTTCTTCTTGTGGTATAACTGCAAAACTTTTTAGCTTCTGACAGTCGTTGAAAGAAATCCATTTAATTGTATTAATGCCGTAATTGCAAAATTTTAAACATAAAAGTTTTGGGGCATATAGATTTAAGTGATGAAGACCACTGCACTTTACAAACTTCAGATCCAGAAGGTTTGGAACAGAGAGGAAAGAAGTTGCAACATCTAATTCAAAGGCGACTCCATCTGATTTAAGGCTTTTGAGCTTGTGGAAACCTGCAAAACTGCAAGGCGGCCTGAAAATGCAGTATAAAAGATTCAAATGTTCTAGCTCTACGGTGTACCCACAACGGCGTCAACTTATATGGAGCATTGAGATATTCTAAACTCCGAAGGGTGAGCTCCACGAGACCATTTCTTGACAAATGTAGCATCCATAGATCAATAACTGAGTGCTCAAAAGGATTTATCATTGAAATATCAAGGAGAAATGTCTTAATGGGTCCATAGTGCTGCAATAGAATTCTATTAATGATGTCTATTGTGCATGTCTGGTTTGTCTTTCTGTAATAGTCCGCAGAAATTCTGAGCTTTGGGTTTGAAGCCCAAATATGTCTCCACTTACTGGACAAGACACTCATTCTTGCGGCATCCTCAATAGTCATGTGCTCCTGAATTTGGTGTCTGATATTAATAGGAAGATCTATAAGCCTATCAAGTTTGTCCCTTCCATCTTCAAGTCCTTTAAAGGTATCTGTCATCATGATTGTAAGTCCTGACCATTTGAACCAACAAAAATAAGTGAAGGTTGCATAGAAAATGCTTTACACATGCTGCATATGCAAATCCAACTTTATATTCTAGTCAAGAAAGTAACATCATAGTTTAAATAGGCTTGTATAAGATCAATCTAGACTCATGCTTATCATGATAATTAGATTGGAATGAATTAATATGAGAGAAAAGCTCGTCAGGCAGGTTGTTTGAGATTCAAAACAGTCATCATTCTACAAATTTCAATTTTTATAGAAGCTTTATTGATCATGGACTTCATAGTGTTAGTATTGAAACCCGGAATATTGCGCTGACAAAGCATGCCCACAACGATGGTGAATTAGACCATAAAAAATATGCCAAAGGAAGTACAAAAACTTGCGTTGTTCGCTCTACTAGATTAACACCCACA